GGGGGGGTTCAGATTTTTGTCTGTAGAAATAGAATTGAAACTTTAAACAGTATGTAAGTATATGAAGTGTGCAATTTTCAGCTGTTGTGAAAAGCTCAGCTCACAGATTCTTTTCAAGTATTGACAAATATGCTTGCCCCGTGTGCATTTATAGGTGTCTTTGTAAAGCTTACAAGCAAGGCTAAGTATTAATATTATCAATGTATGCGAGACAAAAATTTTTGTGTGTACTTTGTTGGCCTTTTTTTTTCAATGCTAAAGAAAAAATGGGATCTGGAGGTTCTGGTTGGATTAGTCCTTTAAAGACTTGTCATTTTTAGTTCACCATATATACAGAACTTAACACCTTTTTCTTGAATTTCATTTCACAGTTATAGATTATGATGTCGAAGATATTGTAATGTACCTAATAAGAACCCATGTTCAGTTTATAACAATGAGAAAACATGCCATAAGGAGTAAGATAATCCATCTGAAGTGTTGGCAGTGTATTTCAGGCATTTGAGCCATTGGTCACAAGTAAAATTATCAAATTTTCTTCCGGTGTTTCAGTTATGTCATTGTGATTACAATATTTTAGTACATCTTTGTCAAAATTGTTAATTAACTGATGCAAAGTACGCCTTTCTTTAAAGGATTGATGTGTTGTACATAACATCATTTACTCATGAATAATGAATCATCCCAGATTTTAACAACTTTTTAAGTGAACAGTGGGTGTCACATTCGACGAGGTCACATTCAACGTAAAGTCGGCTCCAACAAGGCAATCCTTAATCACCAATTTTTTTCCTCTATATATATATATCTCTTTGTAAATGTACGTCAGCTCCAGTGAGGTTGCAAGCAGACCAAAGTCGCTTTCGTCGAGGTTGTGATAACCGAATAAAAGCAAATAAGCGGCCCCAAAAGCAAATAATTTTTCTCCCTTCTCTCCATCTCACGCGAAGCACAAGGCCAATCCTCGATTCCTAACACATTGTATTGCTAGATCTAGTGGGCCCCAAAGCCAAGAGGATGGGCAAGGGTTAGCCTACGGTAGGGATGGGAGGGAGTGGGTGGGACCACGATGCATGTGAAACTGGTATTGGTACATCGTGTATATATAATAACTTGTCTCATTTCTTTTCTTTAGCATTAGTCACGTTCAATGAGAGGTCGGATCCAACGAGGACAATAAGCTGGTTCCGGCAACCTCGTTGAATGCGACTCCCACTGTATTAAAAATGAAACAGCTGGATTTCTGTTATAAGAAGAATTGAATACTGTGAATATTTATTATTATACATTTATTAGGTGAGCAAATGAAACCAATCAAATACAGTATGCCATTTGTTACAATTTGCCTTGTGTTGCTTTGTTTGCAAATACTATTACAGTTGAATTCTGTGAATCAAGGACAAAAGGAACAATGTTGGATTTTCTTAGTATAATCATGCCGGAGAATGTGCGGTGGCGGAGCGGTTAGTGCATTCGTCTCTGAAGTGGAAAGTCTGGGTTCAAGCCTCGGTTCAGACACAGATTTTTTGTCACCCCCTCCTGCCCACCAAGCGATAATGGGCGCCTGACTTCGGGTTGGGCGGGGAAAGGAACTGGCCACCCTACCACAATTTCCCGTACGCCGAAGGCCCAAGAAGATGTCTCTCTCTCTGGCAATCCCCAAAGTCCAGATCAGATGCGGGAACAAATATACTTTTTAAACATGCTGGAAGACTGTGATCTCAAGAATACACACACACACACACACACACACACACACAACTGCTAGACCCACAAACATTCTTGTACAAAATTAAATAGATTTTACAGTCGTGTTATGTGGCAGATCCTTTCTATAATTATAAGCTAGAATCCAAAATACAGTTGGACTTGTTCTAACAGTCACCTGTACTGTACAAATAGCCACTTCTAATTTCTTCACTTATATATTTTTAACATTGCATTATAATAACAGGAAAGAAGGAACAAGCAACACCAGAGCACCTGCCAACCACCCTTAAAAAAGGGGTACATATTGTTACTCCTTCCCTTCCCCCCCCCCTCTCTCTCTCTCTCTCTCTCTCTCTCTCTCTCTCTCTCTCTCTTTCTTTCTTCTCGCTCTTCTCTTCTTTCCCTTCTGTTTCACACACACACACACACACACTCAAAAAAAAAAAAACCACACAGACTCTCTTTCTCTCTCTCTCTCTCTCTCTCTCTCTCTCTCTCTCTCTCTCTCTCTCTCTCTCTCTCTCTTACTCTCCTCTCTTTCTCTCAGCTATGTTTTTTTCTATTTCTTGCACATAGGCTACACACACATACACACACATTCTCTGTGCCTGTCTCTACCTCTGTCAGTCTGTCTGCCTGTCCTTCCCTCTCTCTCTCTCTCTCTCTCTCTCTCTCTCTCTCTCTCTCTCTCTCTCTCTATCTATCTATCTATCTATCTATCTATCTATGTCTATCTTCTATCTGTCATATCTATCTATCTGTCTGTCTATCTTTTTACACACACGCACACAAACACACACACACAAACACACACACTCAGTTTCTTAATCCTTTCTACCTCTTTCTATTTCCCTCTCTCTCTCTCATTCTCATTGTCCCTCTCACTTTTCTCTCTGTTTTTCTCTTATGCAAATGCGGATGTGCGCACACACACACACACACACAAACACAAACACATGCGCGATCGCGCACGTTCTTGCCTTTTAATAGGCCTATATCATTAGATCTCGCCGTTTTCTTCAGTCTAGCCTAAGTGGATCGTTTATGGGTTAGCGGTAACATTTAAAAAGAAAACTACGGGTTTCTCGGTTTTGACAATTATTAGAAATTTGCTCTTTGCTGCGATAGAAACAGAATGGAGCAGACCCCAGAAAACACATGACATACCGTAGTGAAATTATTTTTAAATGCCCCAATGTTTAGAACTTACTTTTAATCTCCTTGGGTTGTGCTTATAATGACGATGCCTTTAAAAATCCATTCGCTTTATTGGAAAGTAGCCTGTTTGGAAATTGAGAAAATATTAGATCTAATTAATTTTTTTAAGTTCACCAGAGTTGGTGTCGGTGTGTTTCTTTACAAAGACAACAGCCTACGAGCAGAGCGCACGCGCGCGCGCGTACACACACACTCACACACATACTACATACACAAACACACACACACACACACACACACACACACACACACACACACACACACACACTCACATATACATACACAAAACACGTGGATCTAGAGCCAGTACAAGTTCCAGATCCGCTGAGATCCTGCCATAACATATAAATTATTGTTTTATCGCTCAGTGCAGTAATTCATTCTCTAGTCCTAGCCTCAAAATAAATTGCGATGTTGAAATATGCCGCACAGAGGACGAATGTTTACTTCCGGTGGATCTGGGCTCAGGATTCGGGACAGTGGTTGTTTTCCACGCTTGTTGTTCTGCTCTGTAAACAAAACGGTGTAGATCTAGGGGATTCCGTCTGGACTGTGTCTCCTCCAAACACAAATGAAAATATGGTATGGGTTATTTTATATCAACATTATGTTAACTTCACGTTTATTTTGTCAGTTTAATAGATTTTTTTACTGGCGATATGGTTGTAGGCTAATATTTAATAAGCCCTAGAATCTAGATCTAGATCTAGATCTAGATTCTAGATCTAGTCTAGATCTAGATCTAGATCTAGATCTAGCCCTAACCTATAAGTATACGGCATAAGGGTGCTTTTTCGGTAGTTCCCACCCCCCTTATTTGAGCCTGACCTACTTCTAGATCTAGATCTATACGTTTGATTCGCGGTGAGCTAAGATATCAAACATAACAACAGCAAAACATTAAATTGTGGTAAAATTCAGGGGGGCATGCCCCCCTGAAATCCCCCTTCCCATTTTTGT